AAACGCTGGAAGTAACAATGGAAACAAAAATGGAAACGAAAACGTTGGAGATAATAACGGAAACAAAAATGGAAACGAAAACGCTGGAAGCAACAATGGAAATGCTAATGGAAACGCAAATGTTGGAGATAACAACGGAAACGCCAATGGTAATGCAAACGCTGGAAGTAACAATGGAAACAAAAATGGAAACGAAAACGTTGGAGATAATAACGGAAACAAAAATGGAAACGCAAACGCTGGAAGCAACAATGGAAATGCCAATGGAAACGCAAACGTTGGAGATAATAACGGAAACAAAAATGGAAACGCAAATGCTGGAAGCAACAATGGAAATGCCAGTGGAAACGCAAATGTTGGAGATAATAACGGAAACGCCAATGGTAATGCAAACGCTGGAAGCAACAATGGAAATGCCAATGGAAACGCAAATGTTGGAGATAATAACGGAAACGCCAATGGAAACGCGAACGCCGGAGATAATAAAGGTAATTGTTGGGGTTAAAATTGCAAAAACTTGGGCTGTAAGTGCAAAGTTTTTTCATTCTTCATACTCTTTTCTTAGCTTGTCCGTGTCAACAGGCAAACGCTGGAAGTAACAATGGAAATGCCAATGGAAACGGAAACGTTGGAGATAATAACGGAAACGCCAATGGTAATGCAAACGCTGGAAGCAACAATGGAAATGCCAATGGAAACGCAAACGTTGGAGATAATAACGGAAACAAAAATGGTAATGCAAATGCTGGAAGCAACAATGGAAATGCCAATGGAAACGGAAACGTTGGAGATAATAACGGAAACAAAAATGGAAACCAAAACGGAAGCTATAACAGCTGGTCAAACAGTATTGGTAATACTAATCTTGGTGATTGGAAATCATGGGGAAATTGGAGTTGGCAATAGTAGAGGTTTTTTATAAGCATAACATCATGTAAATAATATCATTTATTAGCAATGTAAATTCAAATTTTTGTCGATATAAAGTTTACGCTATTAAAGAGTTAATTTTAAAGTCGAAATTAATTTTTCATCGATTCCACCAAAAGCTATATATTTAAAAATTAGAACTTGATATAATAGGCCTAAAAAAATCACATTTACATATAATTGTCAATATTTACACACATTGTTTATTTTATATCGATATGCGAAGACACTCGTGCAAGTTTTAACAGCATAAAAATATTTTTTACATTAAAATAAACAAAGTCATTAACAATATTTCGGAAACGAAAAGAAAGAAAAAACTAACTACATTATTATATTATTGCAAGTAAAAATATAATTTACAATCCGATTTTCTAATATTGACTATAAAACCGATAGCAAATTTAACTAAACCAACTTTTAAATTTTTCTCCTATAGGGTCTTTCCGATATTGTTGTTGATATTTGGCGCTTTTATCCAGCTCATTTGTACGTTTATCTTGTAACCTTTTATAATAGTCGCCGCCCTCGCCGTCGTTTCCCGGTCCAAAAGTATTTTTGCGTCGCCGAGGACCCGCTTGGACCGTCTTCAAGGGAATTCCTTCGCCGGTCGCGGCTTTCTCTTCATAGCTCATAATGAGGATGGCGTGTTTGCTAGTTTTATTATGATCTTTGGGATCTTTTTGTTCTTTCGTGGGTGCATTTTTACATAATTCTTGTTCGCGTTTTGCTTGAAAATTTCCTAATTCACTGTTGAAACTCATTTTTATAGTGAGTTTATGAAAAGTTTATATAACAATTTATTCACTGAAAAAAAGAAATAGTTAAATTTATACACTTTTCCCAGCCCATAAATAATCGTTATACATAACCATATCTAATGTCATAATTCATTTTACGTCGTGAGAAAATTGCAAATTCGTCATATCAATGTAAAAGCAAGATTTGATCGATTGATCCATGAACGCGTCGATTCCTACTGCTTAGTAATTTCACCCGTTCTAACTGAGATTGTCTTAATATACGGCAGGTTATCAAAGATTTGAAAATTTACCTAGCTAAATCCAAAATTCATTCTTTGCTTGATTAACGTTAATTTTTTTGCTATTGATTTTTTAACCCACATTCTCCAACGTTCCATCGCTATTATTCAATTATGCTATGGATCTTCTTCCAACCAAAAGTTATCATTATATTAAACAAATTCTTTGAAAATCAAAATTTTTCAACTCAATAATATTCCAAACTGGCTGAATTATATTATTTTATGCGTACAAATCAACAACATTTGATAAATTTTTTTATATTAAAAGACAAAAATGTCCAAGGTGGTTCATATAAATTCACCTCTCTATAACGACATTATTAATGATTCCCTATAATGACAACGAAATTTATAAACTTATAATTTTGTAATTTAAAACATAATTGTTTATGTTTTTATATAAAAATAAGTTTATTTTGACGAAAATATTTGAAGTTGTCATTTACAAAATATCAAAATGCTATCTAATTTTATTTATGTAATTAATAATATTATAATAAACTTTGAATTTTGAATTTATTATAAATTACAGTTGAAATCAAAAATAATACAATGTTTCAGTAAAACATGTATTTTTCATCTCCTATTCATTTCAGATTTGTTGTCCTAATTGTATATAAAATCAATTAATTATTAATTATGGTCTGGTGCAAAAAGATTGGTACATCAGATAAATATTAATAGATTATTTTTTCAAAATAAAATTTTAATTCTG